CCCCGCCCCGCCCTGGCCCCGCCCCTACCTTGGCCACAATGACCTCCTTCTTGAGGATCTTCATAGCGTAGTAGCGGCCTGTGGCCTTCTCCTTCACCAGGATCACCTTCCCGAAGGTGCCTTTGCCCAGCAGCTTCAGGTACTCAAACTCATTCATGGTCTGCAGGGGGAGCGGGCCGGGGTCAGGGAGCAGAGAGTGACGCGCTCGGGGCCACCACAGCCCACCGTGGGGCTGGCACAGAGGGGTAGGAGTCACAGGCCACGGGACCATGTGGGGCTCCGCACCCCAAGTCAGCACTGGGGTCTGGGAGCTGGTGGGAGTGACAGCATCCCCGCCTTCCTTCTGATGGGCAGACTGTGCTGTGCACAGGAAGGAGCCCAGGAGGGAGGTGGGCGGGGTGGGCAGAGCACTGAGGCCAGCCTGAGGGCACCCTGTGGGCGCTGGGCCCTTGCAGAGGTGGGACGGGCCTCACCACGCGGTGCTTGGGCTTAGCCAGGGACACCTCCATCTCCTCGGCCCCCGAGTTGTCACTGGGCGAGCCTGACCGGAAGTCCATCATCTCCTCCTCCTGCTTCTTGAGCCCGTCGGCCACCGTCTGGATGGCGGTCGTCCACTCCTCCCTGCGGAGCGCTCAGGTGAGGCCCGGCCCCGCCCCACAGCCCCAGGAGGCTGCCTGCCCACCCCATGACCTGGGCCGGCCACAGCCACTTAGGAGCCTGGACACTGGGGACAGCGAGACCCAGGCCCCAGCGGGACCGTCAGGACACCCCCGGGGCCTGGGAGCGCTGGAGAGCGAGTGTCCCCCATACCGTTCCTCGGGGGTCTCCACGTGGAAGGTGCGCTCGATGACCGTGGTCCACTGCAGGCAGCGGATGATGAAGGTGTTGGGCCGGGGCCGTTCCGTCTTCATCAGCTGGCATTCTAGGGGCGGGGGCAGCAGGTGAGCGCCGTGGGCACTCACACTCACACGACTGCCAGCCCCACTGCCCCTCACACAGACCCCACCCACAGGTCCTGGAAAGCCCTACCCCTTCCCCTCTCCATGCCTCAGTTTCCCTCATAAAATGGGGCTGGGACCCCTGTTCCTGCTCAGATGCTTCTCTGGAGCTGCCCCAGCAGGTGTCGGCTGGGTGAGGCCCCTCCTTCAGTCTCTTGAGCCCCCGCTGCATGCCAAGCCATGGCCCTTGACTGGCTAGAGGGCCTCGGGGAGGGCAAGCAGGGTGGGGCCTCGTGGGAAAGCAGCTCGCCCACCATTTCCCCAGCCACGCCACGACTGCCAGCCCCACTGCCCCTCACACAGAGCTAATCCCAGGTGGAGGCTGTCTGTCCTGGAGGTGGCTGGAGGACGTGACCCACCTGACTAATGCCAGCCCTACCGCCAGGGGAGCTGGGAGTCTGGGCTCACACGGGAGTACTGGCTGTCAGGCCTGGGAGTACACACGCTCAAGGGCACACACACCTGGAGCGTGCACACCTGGAATACACCTCCCCGAGCACACACACCAGGAATACACACACCTCCTGAATACACACACACCAGGATTACACACATCTGGAATACACACCCCCCCTGCCCCCCAAGCACACACACAGCAGGAATACACACCCTGAGCACACACATCAGGATCACGCACACACCTAGAGCACAGACATACCTGCTGCCAAGGAACTGTGGGAATGCGCCAGGCCCCGAGGGGCGTGAATGAGTGTGGGGGCCGCTGAGGGCTGCTAGGCCAGATTCTGGCCCAGCCTGTGAGGCGGGAGGGGGCCGTGGGGCCAGTGTAGGGGCTCTGACATTCCAGTGTCTGGGCCCCAGCAACGGGTGGGGCGCCCTGCCAGGCTCAGCCAAGCACGGAGAGCTGTCTGCTGGGCCTGGAGCTGGCCATGTAGGAGGGTGGCCTCTGTCAACATGGGGCAGGCTGGCCTCCTCAGTCCCTGCACCCCCACTTCCCACTCCTGTGACCCAAACACTAGACACCCATTCCAGAGCCTGGCTTCTCGTCCCCTGACCTCTGGAGTCCATCCCCAAGAAAAGCCCCTGGCCACGGGCCCCAGCAGCACCACCTCCCTGTCCGGCACAGCTCTGCCCCTTGGTGGGGGTGCCAGCGGCCTAGGGCCTGCTCTCAAGGCCGGGCTCCACCCCCACACTGCTCAGACGGCCCCTGGCTGGTCCCACCTCCCATGTGCCTCCGGAGACCCACGCCCGAGGGGTCTCAGCCCCACCAAGACCAAGCTTCCTTCTGGAGCCCGGGAGCTCCCAAGCCAGCCAAGGCCTGCACAGCTGCAAGGACACCAGGCTGGGGGCGTCTGCCTCCTCAGTCTCCCCTCACTCGGGGCCCCTACTCTACCTGCTGCTTTGCAGAGGCATGAGAAGCGGAGGGAGGGGGAGCTCAGAGCTCACAAGAACCGGTCCCCATCAAGCCCCTCAGCCTGGCCTTGGGTGGCAGCAGCTGTGCTCCCCACATTTCCAGAGGCCCTCAGTGGGTGCGTTGGCAGTGCCCGGGCAGGGCAGACACGGTGCCCGGATGGCCCGACCTCTCTACAGGAGTCCTTCCCCATCAGCCTGGGGACAGCCCACCTGTGCTACATCCTCCTAAGACCCTGGACCAGAATCTGGGGTCTGGTGAGGTGCAGGGCTGAACAGCAGAGGGCAGAGCTGGCCCGAGCGTGGGAACATATGAAGGAGGAGCCTGGGGTGAGCCAGGGACCCCCATGGGGGCACCGCACCCAGTACCACAGACGGCAGCCCAGGACAGACCTGGGGCTCAGCGGAGCCCGTCACTCACCCACCCGCCCACCAGCCTGTTGCGGGCCAGCACCGAGGCAGAGTATGGGACAGGGCCCGTCTCCATGCCTGCCTGGCCTGCCAGCCTCGTGGGTAGGATCACGCCTGCCGTCCCCACCCCACACAGGTAGAAAATAAGGACATAGCAGCACATAGTTTTTAAAAAGTGCCAGTTTACCCAGCTTTGTGAGATTCCCCAGTCCAGCCGTGCCCCCTTGCCCATCCCTCAGGTGGGGCAACTCCCACGCCAGCTAATGGCAGAGCAAATACACTGCCATGGGGGCCACAGCCTCTGAGAACTTCCAGATGACAGCCACAGGCTCTCCTGGGAGTGTCGAAGGTTCCAGAAGCTAGGTGCCATCGGGCACCCTGCCTGCCTCCCCACCCAGGGGCTGTCAGAGGGCTCCATCTGGCCCCTGCTAGAGAGGCCCCTGGTCTTGGCTGTGCCAGGCTGGGCTCTGTCCCCGCTTGGCCAGGCCTTCTGGCCCCCAGAACAACTCCAGGGCAGCCAGCCTTGGGACTCGGCACAGAGACCCCCACCAGCCAGAGCTGTCTGCTAACCTGTTCCCGAGGTGACTCGGAGCCAACACCGCCCAGGCGGGTTCCCGGCGGCCGCCGGCCCCAGACGGAGAGCCCAGAGGGACCTCGCATGGCTCCTGCAGCCCTGCTGCCCCAGCCAGTGCCTCCATTCCCACGCACGGCGGCTGCGGGCACACTTACGCGCCACTGAGAAGTTGTTGAGGGGCGACTCGCGCTGCTCCACGTCCTGCGGCCGCTCCTTGTACCCAATGAAGGTGCCATCGTTCTTCAGCAGGAAGTACCGGGGCCGCCAGGTTTTGATGTACTCCCCTGGGGACACAGCACCGTGAGCGGCTGAACCCGTCCCCACCCCACAGACCCCCAACAGTTGCGCCCAGAACACCCAAATGCGCGAGCACCGCCACCTCCCACAGGGGTGGGCAGTGTGAGAGGGCAGGCAGGGCTCACCGTGCGAAAGCACCCACCTCTGAGGAAGAGCCCCCCTCCCCGCGTTGGAAAGGGCCCTGGTGGCATCTCAACATGGGGGAAAGGCCACGACGGACGGGAGGCTGGCCCGATCCAGAGGGCCTTCCTGGAGGAGGTGGCGCCAAGCCAGCGTGTCCCCAGCAGACACCAGCAACAGCTCAAGCACCAGTTACGGCCACCTACTCAGGACCTCAAGGCCAAGAGCTGTCCCCACCCTGGGCCCAGCCAGATGTCGGCCGCAACAGTCACTGTGGTGATAATGGCAGGTGGGCAGCTCACCACAGCGGACCCCTGGCCGAGGATGGAGCCGGCACCACACTCCGAGTGGGACTCCCGGGCCTGTCCACCTGCAGCACACCCCCATGCTCGGCACTCAGGACAGAGCCCTCACCGCCGGTGACATCGTGGGCACCACGGTGAAGCCAGGCCTGGGGGCGGCCACCCTGGACCCCAGCATCCCACCCACGGGTCACCCGGGTACACGGCAAAGTTCCCCCCGAAGTTTTGCGACATCAGCCGTAAACAGGCGTTCACAAGGGAACCGAGCAGATGTCCTCTGTGATATTCGAGTGACTGTCATTTTTCATACTGACACCCAGAAAAAATGTTTCATTTACATTTTGCCGAGCAAGGAGTTTGAACAACAGCGGAGAACTTACTAATTAGGCAGTGCTTCCTCAGAGGAGCCACTGGGCAGCAGGCAGGGGGGCCGGGGTCCCTGACTCAGGGCCAAGCTGAGCCCAGGACAAGAGCAAAGGGCCCGCTGGACCCTTCTAACCAAGCGTCCCTGGGTGTGGCTTCCGAGGCCCTGACCCCCCCCGTCCATGACCCAGGGCCGCTGGGGAGATGGGGGCTCCAGCCGCTCCCAGCACCCTTCCCAGGGAGCTCAGCACCTGGCTCAGACACCACAGGCCCAGGAAGGACCTGAGCAGTGCTATCACCTGCTCCCACCCCAGCGGCATTTGGCATTTAGCGGGGCCTTCATCCAGTTCCACCCTCCAGGCCCCTGGGGACGGGCACTGGGAAGGCTGCAGTCCGGCCAGCCTCAGGCCAACGCTGGCTTCTGCCCTGGTCTGGGATGGCCCCGCCGGCCTCCCGGGTCCCCCTTCCCCGCCTGTGCAGCGGGCGGGCGCCAGCAGAGTCGGCTCCGGGGGCATGCCGGCCGCCCGCTGCTCGCTCCCACCCGCCTGCGTGCCAGTCTGGAGCTGTCGGGCCCTGATGGAGTGCCTCCCATCCCGCCAGCTGCCGCTCCCCAGGATGCTAACTGAGCAGGGAGAGTGATGAGCACCTCACCGTGCAGCCCCAAAAATCCATCTTGATGTACCAACTGCCGCCGGCCCCCCAGTGCCGCACCCTGCGCACGCAGTCGGCAGGCTGTGCTTGCACTCGGTAGGACCTGCACACCAGACTGGGCCTCAGTTTCCCCACTGTGGGTTAGGGGGAGCAAGAACTGCTGGGCACCCAGGACCTACCCCAACCACGTGACCCTGCACTTGCCTTCCACCAGCTTGCACCCCACAAGCCTACCCCCAAGGTTGGGAAGGCTCTGGAATCCAGAACTTGGGAGCCCAAGGGAACAACACTTGCCAGAAGAGGCTGGGGGCAGAGGGGCCGGGGCGCCCGCGCTGTCCCTGCTCACGTCCCCCTAGGGCTGACTCCGGAGCCAGGGACGGGGGTCCGGCTTGGGTCCTCCCCCGCGGCAGCTCAGCAGGGAGGAGCAGAGGTCGGGGGGGCGGGGGCAGGACCAAGGCTCCCAGACATACAGACCCTTCCTTCAGTGTCTTGGACGCTCCCGTCTGCAAAGGTCCAACCAGGCAGTCCCTCAGGGGCCGTCAGCCGCACCAGCTGCAGCCTGGGCCGTGGCCTGCGTCGGAATGAGTCCAGCCCACACAGGATGCCCGGCAGGCGTCAGGCCAGACAGACAGGGGCCCCGGGGCCCCACACACTCCCAGGGCTGGAGGTAACACAGGATGGGGTCGGTGGAGGAGGTGGCACCCCTGTGCCCAGCCACCACCATCCTCTCAGCCACAGGATGCCTGTGGGCGGGCACCTGCCCTGGGGTCGTGGGGGTCAGGGGACAGACACACACATCGGCAGTGCTGTCCATGGGAGCCTTCACTCTAGGCACAGACGCGGGCAGGGGACAAAAGGGAAACTCAAGTCTACCCTCAGGGCACTGCTTCCTAAATGGGGTCTGCATGCTCCCCCAGGGCCAGACATCCGCCCACAACCGGGGTGTTTCTGCAGCAGCGGGCACTCATGGGCAGTGGGAACTGGCTGGCATCGGGCCCAGGGCGTGTCTTCTCCCTCCCTGCCACTCACACCACATGCTCAGCCCAGGATGGCAGACGGGCCCCCCAATCCAGCCCCATGCAAACACTCCAGACCAGAGCCCTGGAAAGCACGGGGGCTCCAGGGCCCACCCCACCCCGAGGGACCGCTGGCAGACAGGCAGGACAGGTGGCAACTCAGTGCCCCCTTGGGGTTCTCTCAGAAGTCTGACCTGGGCTGAGGTGGGGAGGGGCGCGCAGCCCCTCTGAGACCTCCCGCCCAGGCACCAGGAGAGGGACTGTGCCCCCTGCACCTTAACCTCCAGGTCAGCCCACCCACAGTGAGGGCTCCAGGTCCTAGGAGGCAGCTGCGTTGGGTGGGGTGGGGGTGCACAGGCTTAGCCAGGCTCCTGTGTCTTGACAAGGGCTCCCCTGCCCCTTTGTGCCCCCCAGGGCCCCTCAGCTCCCAGCATCCTCGAGTATCCTCCACCAGGGATCCCTTCCGCTAGCCCGATCATCCTAGGAGCCAGCTCAATCCCAAGAAGGGGCTGCAGGACCTTCCTAAAGCAGGGAGACTCCTTGCCGGCTGCCTGGAGCTGCCACAGCCCATGTCACCCTAACAGGCCACATCCCCAGGGCTTGGGGGCAAGACAAGCCGGACAGAGGCCACGGGCCTGTCCTCGCCACACCTCCCAGCCACGTGCCCTAGGCACCCGGGCAGCAGACTCGGGGGGCCTGTGTGCCGTGGGCAGCCTGGGCTCAGTCCTCCCATGCTGCCAGGAGTCTCGGCGCACCAAGCACCTGGCACATGGCACCTGGGCCACAGCCACCCAGCCGCCACACCCTGAACTCCGTGCACATTCTCCCCATGTCCCCAGTTCTCGGGGAAACTGCTGGATAAACACTTTGCCGCAGCGGTGGTGGCGGTGGCAGGCGGTAGCTGGCAGGGTGCCAGGCGGCACCGAGCTGTTTCTCCACAGCAAAGCGAGCCCCAGCAGGCCCGGGGAGCGCCGCCAGCTGACAGCGGCGGCCACCGCGCAGTCCCCCGCCGACGACACATCCATCGCACCGACAGCTGCCGGGTGCCCATTTACCCAGCACAGCGAGCAAATGGCCCTGCTGACGGCAGCCCATCCATCCTCGCCCGCCAGGCAGGGGCAGCAGCGGGCACGGGTCACCTCGAGGGGCCCCGCCTGCAGGGCATGTCTGGGCCCAGATGTGTCCCTGTGTCCCTATCCCACCAGCAGGGCCAGGGGAAGGGAGGGGCCGCACCCCCACTCAGGTGCAGCCCCAGTTCTGCCGGCGTGAATCCACGGGGCTGAGCCTTTCCAAGGACGGCATTTGCGGGGTCCAGGCAGAGGACCAATGCTCCCGGACCCGCCCCTGAGCCCCCAAGCTTTCCCCCGAACCACGATCTCGCCCTGGCAGGCAGAAGTCCTTACACCCACAAGCTTCCTGGGGAAAACTGAGGTTCAAGTGAGGGGACTCTCAAGGTCGCAGAGGCAGGCGACCAGAGACCCGGGCCCCGCTGCCCAGGCTGGGCTCGCTCCTTGACATACACTGAACACTTCACGGGTCCTTGGTTCTGCCGTCACGCAGGCCGGGCCCCAAGACCACAGCCAGTGTCAGCGTAGGGGAACGGGCGTGTGTGGGGCGGGGGAAGCAACGAGCCAGGGGCACCCAGATCCGAGCCTCACGACAACCCCCTCTTCCAGCCACCCTAGCTGTTGTACCTCTGCCTGGACACCCCACCCACTGGCCGTCTCCCCCAAAACCCCACCTCCTCCTCAGGTGCCATTCGTCACCACCCCCTACAAGCCAGTCAACGGGGCCACCCTTGACCCCACCCTGCTGATGCTGACCTGGCTACGCCGCAGACCTGCCCACTCAGCTCCGGCCGCAAGGCCTCTGCCCTGGCCCGGCGGGCCCGGGCCCATGCCTACTGCCTCGCTCTGAGTCTCCCCGCCTCAGCAGCCCCACAGCCCTCACCCGTATCACTGCCTGCGTGGAGACCCTCTCGGGCCACAGTCCCGCTGTCCGGATGCCACCCCCTGGCTGTGCCCCCAGCCGTCTCCCTGCACCAGCCCCACAGGCTCTGTCAAGCCGCCCTGGGTGAGCTGTGGGGGCACCCTCCCCACAGCCCATGCCCCAGTCTCATCCTGTCAGGCCAGCTTCTGGGTCACCTCCCCAGTGGATGTGCGGTGGGGTTCGGGGACACTGGGCTTCAAAGACCGGGCTGGGTCTGGGGTTCAGGGGCAGCCACAGCCACACCTCCCTCTGAAGGGTGTCTTGGGGGGTCGGGAGAGGCAGTGGACAGCCCCGAGCCTGCCGATCCCCCAGGTTCCCCCCATCTGCTAGACTCTTAGGTCACAGGCCCCGGGAAAAGGGAGTCCTGACACCCCCGGTCCTGACCCAGGCTGTCAGGTGGCCCCTGCCCGAGGCCACACAACGCAGACTTTGGGTTTCCAGAACATGCCCCTAGAGATACCTGTCACTCCTGTGCCAAGAACCAAACCAAGAAAGGTGCCAGGCTTCCCGGGCAGGACGAGGAGAGAGCGGACAGGAGCAAGCGGC